TTTTTAAGAGACAGAGTCTCACTATATTGCCTGGGCTAGAGTACAGTGACTATTCACAGGCATGATCATAGCTTACTACAACCTTGAACTCTTGGGCTCAAGCTGTCCTCCTGCCTTAGCCTCCTGAGTAGCTAGGTCTACAGTCCTGCACCACTGCCCTCAGTCTATTTTCCTTATATTATACTTCTTGAGAGAGAATTCTATTGGCTGAGTTCATTTTTTTGTGTGTGCCAGGTGACACCACACTGTGTGACATTTTTGTGCATGATTATGGTTAAGGCACTGCTGTAAGTACTTTCCATCCATTAAATCATTTAACTTTCATAGGAACCCCATGAAAAAGGCATTATTTTTATTCTTATTGTACATATTCTTATTGTACATCTGAGGAAACTGAGGCACAGAGGTTTAGTAATTTGTCCATAGTCATATTGGTAATCACAGGCAGAGCCATTGTTCAGCCTTATGAGAGGCTCTCCTTCTATCAAGTCCCCTTCCTGGTCCAATCAACTGTGGATATGAGGCTGTAGTAACATGGTCCAAAATATTGCTGTCCACACTCCTCTTTAGCAGGGGTTGACTTTTGGACAGTTTCACTTGGAAATGGGCTGTGAATATTAAAGGCAGCATGTATTGACTTGCTATGACTGCTGTAATAAATTATCATAGGTAGTTTATGGTATATGGTGTTTTAAAACAACACTTTTTTTTGTAATCAGTTCATAATCAGTATCACTGGGCCAAAACTGAGGTGTTGACAGGGCCACATTCTTTCTGAAATCGCTATGGGAGAATCCATTTCTTGCCTCTTCCAGCTTCAGGTCACTGCCAGCATTCTTTGGCTGTGGCTACATCATTCCAATCTCTGCCTCCACGGTCACATTACCTTTTCCTCTTCTGTCAGTCATCAGATCTACTTCTGCTTCTCTTACAAGGATCTTTGTGATTGCATTTAGGGCCTATGCAGATAATCTAGGATAACCCCCTATAGCAAGACCCTTAACTTAATCACACCTGCAAAGTCTTTGCCACATAAGGTAACATTTACAGGAATTAGGACCTGATCTCTTTGGGAGCCATTGTTTAGCCTACCACATACCATGACTGGTATATAAGTGTTATAATGTGAGTGTTATATGCCTAGAGAGAAAACAGAAATAGCCAAGAGATTACATGAGTTGTTACCATGTGGTAGGCACCTCACCTTGCTTCCCATGTATCTGATGTTCTGTGTACTGCCACAGGGCTGCTGCTCACTGATTTACCACCACCTAGGGCTGGTCTCTCAGACTCCTTGACTCATTCCCAGACTAAGGTCAAAGATATATCCTTCCAACATTCAAACCACTATGTAATTCCTTTAGAAAATTCAACTTCACCCTAGCAGTCCTCAGGATAAAAAGGGAAAGGAAGTTTTGTTCTACATTTACATTGGAGTGTTAAATGAGAATGGAGATGAGGGGTGGTAGGAATCAGAGTGAGAAAACTCTAAGGAGAATTGAAATTTAAAGGAGGAGAGTCACCTTTGGCTGAAAGCCCTTCTCTCTTCTCCATTACATATGGGCACCTGGAGACACTTTTTGAAGCTCTAACATGGAAGGTTTTAGGTTTTGGTTTGGTAAGTGAGGCTTTTCCCTTAGAACAGTGAGTGATTCTTAAACTCTAGCATGCCTCAGAATCACCTGGAAGGCTTGCTAAAACAGATTATTGAGTCTCACCCCTAGCGTGTCTTATTTAGTAAGTCTAGACTGGGGCCTAATACATTGCATTTCTAAAAAGTTCCCAGATGCTGATGATGCCATTGATCCGGGTCCACACTTTGAGAACCACTGCTTAGAGGTCATAAGCCTTTGTGGTCTGCCGACTTATGGACCATTATTTTAAACGTTTCTCCTTGCTGTCAGCTTGAGCTTCATCTTCTCCAGCAAGGCTGCCTGAACCTATAGTTTAGGGAACACTCCTCATCACTGTCCCTAGATCTCCTAGAGTATACCTCTGCCATGGTGCACAATGCCATCTTACTTGTGATGTAGGCAGCACTTAGTATAGTACTTAGCCCATAGTCGGCCCTTGATAAGTATTTTTGGAACTGTTTGTTGAACTAACTTGAATATTCTGGAATTTGTCATTCTAATGCTCACATCATGTTTCATGAGTGATCTCGTAGTCTGAACACACTGTAATTTTCCACAGGCCCATGCTTTTGCATGTGCAATTCCCATAGCCTGGTTTGTTATTCTTCCCTTTTCTTTACTGGGAAATTTCCTTTTATCCTTTAAGATAATTGTCCCCAACCTTCCTGGCACCAGGGACCTGTTTTGTGGAAGATAGTTTTTTCACGGTCTAGGGTGGGGGTGGTGGGAAGAAAGAGATGGTTTCGAATGAAACTGTTCCACTTCAGGATTCTCCCAGGGAGTGTGCAACTTAGATCCCTCGCATGAACAGTTCACAATAGGGTTCATGCCCCTATGAGACTGTAATGTCTGACCTGACAGGAGGTGGAGCTCAGGCGGTAATGTTGGCTGGCCCATTGCTCACCTCCTGCGTGTAGCCCAGTCCCTAACAGGCTGTGGATGTACCGGTCTGCACCCCAGTGTTGAGGGATCCCTGCTTTAAGACTCAACTGAAATGTAGGCCGGGCCTGGTGGCTCATACCTGTAATCCCAGCACTTTGGGAGGCCAAGGTGGGCGGATCACCTGAGATCAGGAGTTTGAGACCAGCCTGACCAATATGGAGAAACCCTGTCTCTACTAAAAATACAAAATTAGACAGGCATGGTGGTACATGCCTGTAATCTCAGCTACTTGGGAGGCTGGGGCGGGAGAATCGCTTGAACCTGGGAGGTGGAGGTTGCAGTGAGCCAAGATGGTGCCATTGCACTCTAGCCTGGGCAATAAGAGTGAAACTACATCTCAAAAAAAAAAAAAAAAAACTCAACTGAGATATTTTTCTCCTCACTGAAGCCTTCCCTGACTCCCTCAGAAAATCTATCTGTACCTTCCTTTCTACCTTCACAGCCCCTTGAATGCCTCTCCTTCATAATTCTTTTGAATTGTGTTGTAATTATTTGCCTACTTTGTTGGACTCACCCAGTGTTGGACTCACCTTTCTGAGATGAGGAACTAAGTCTTAATCTTCTGAGATTGCATGTGTGAGACACTTAGCATAGTGCCAGTCATAATAAATGCTAATTTTATTTATTGTCATTTGTATCCTTCATGCCTGCAGAGCCTAGCACATGGTAGGTACTTAATAACTCCTTATTAAATGCGTCATTCTAGAATTGAATGGTTAATGATAGTTGGTATAATCATTTCCTAGTTGTTGGATCCAGAGATGTTTATATATATATTTTTTTCCTCTCCATTTCTTTTTTTTTTTTTTTTTTTGTTTGTTTGTTTGAGACGGAGTTTCACTCTTGCTACCCAGGCTGGAGTGCAATGGCGCGATCTCGGCTCACTGCAACCTCCGCCTCCTGGGTTCAGGCAATTCTCCTGCCTCAACCTCCTGAGTAGCTGGGATTACAGGCATGCGCCACCATGCCCAGCTAATTTTTTTTGTATTTTTAGTAGAGACGGGGTTTCACCATGTTGACCAGGATGGTCTCGATCTCTTGACCTCGTGATCCACCCGCCTCGGCCTCCCAAAGTGCTGGGATTACAGGCTTGAGCCACCGTGCCCGGCCTTTTCCTCTCCATTTCTTTATCCTTTAAAATATTCAGTAAAGGTATTTTTAATAGAAAAACTATCTGATTTTATCATTATCAATACCAAACAAGTCTTTAAATCAACTAAAATTTATTTAATTAAGCATAAAGTTACTTTCACATTTGTCTACAATCACAGTTAATACAGTTCTTGGCATAAAGACACAGGCATAGCCTTTAGAATTTAAAGCCTCCCCACCTGCAAGATAACGTATCTAAAACTCCCACTATTGTTTATATAACAGTGGATTAATCAAATTAAAATAGTTATACTATCTATAATAAAATAAAATGGAAATAATTTACTCATAAGATTCATATTTAAATCATCTTTATTTATACAAAATACTATCCTGAGAATTATAATTCCATTAAACTTCAATTTGAGCAAAAGTGTAATCACTTAAGTAACAGCAGTTACTTAAACTGCAAATGAGATCAGTCAAAATTACTTTTGAAGAGGGTAAAAATATTGTCAGGTTTCTTGCTGTGGTTCTGAATGATCAGTAGCAGGCTCATTTGAAGGTGGAATCAACCCTGAAGGGAGCTCACTTCTATCTTCAGGATGTAGGGGTGGGAGGAAAAAATCCAGGTCTTGGGGGAAGGTAAGGAGGAAAATCCCTCGGTGGATAGACATTTCTCATTGCAAATGGAGCATGTGATGGACCTGGGAAATCTCTTGGTGGAAAATAATCTCAAGAAGCTCCAAGCATGGTTCCTGGAAGAGGTGGGGGGAAAGGAGGTCCTCTTCTCATGAACGGGCCCCTTGTATCCACTGGAAACAATGAACCTCTGAATGGAGCAAGAGGTGGAGGAACAAAGCGGGGGCCAGTTGCTCCATTTTCAGCTGGGAGAGATGAATCAGGTACATTGAAATTACCAAGATCATGTTTGGTATCATTTCTACTGGATTCCATTTTGGAAGGCATTGACCCATCCATTTTATCCAAAGGCATATCAAAACTTCTGAGTTCTATTGGTCCAGACAGTCTACCAGAATTAGAATAAAATCTGGCTTGCCTTTGTGGAGGAAGAGCTGAATCAGGATATGATTGTCCTGGTGGAGGAAACATCATCCTATGGTCCTGTTCCCTTGGAGGTGACACGGACCCAGTGTCCAAAGGAGCCTTATGAGAATCGATTAACATATCAAAGCTTGATTCTCTTCTTTCATTGGTAATCTTATGGTCCAGAGGATTCCCTGGGCCTCTTGAGCCTCTTCCTCCTCCCCCTAGAAGCAAAGGTGAGAGTCTGAATGGACCCTCCAACAGAGTTGGATGAGAGAGAAAAGCTCTCATTTCAGATGAAGCCTGACCCAGTGGTGAAGGACCATATGGGGAATGCTCTCTGCCCAATGGTATATTTGGAACATCAAGTGCATAAAGATCTTTTTCTAAAAGTTCAAATTTAAACCCTGTTTCAGTTAATTTTTGTCTTTTGTGAGCATTTTCTTTCCTTAAATCATTGAGGTTTCTTTCAGCAGTCTGAGCTGCCAACCAATTACCAATGTGCTTTTTTCTCATGGGAAACAATCTGCCCTTGATAAGAATGGATAGTTCTCTCCAATTCTTCTTCAAGATCTTTGGCTCGCTTTCTATAGGTCTCCAGCTCTTCAGTGGCATGGCTGATCTTTTTGTCTACTTTAGAAAATTTCTCTTCTTTCTCTAACTGGTAATTTTCCTCTATTCTCAATTTCCTGTGGGATTTCATTTCATTTTCTTGATATAATTCAGTCATCACTTTAAATTTCTGTTGAAGATTCTGATTCTCACTTTCAAAACGTGTGTTTTCTGATAGCAAAGATGCTTGTTCAGTCTGAAGATTTTTAATATGCTCTCTAAGCTCTTCATTTGTTTTATCAACTTCAGATAACTGAATATAATTTGGTTCCTTTCTCCTTCTAAGGTTTTTAAAGAAGCCTTTAACTTAGCAGCATGAATCAGTTTCTTTAAAGCTCCTTTTGGAGGATTATCTAAGTAAGCACCATTTTCCAATTCCTTGTTCATTTCCAACTCCAAGTTATCATCATCTGTTATGTCTTCTCCAAGCATAGCAGCCCAATCTTTCATCTTTAGCAAGTGTTCAGTCAGAGTCTTGATGTGATTTTATCATTTACAACTTGTTCTGCGTGTACTTTGGAGTCTTCAAACGTTATTTTCTGTTTATTAAGTTCACTCACTTATTTTTTGCACACTTCAGCTTCTTGCAAAAGCTGCTTCTGGCTTTTCTGAAGTTGAGAATTTTCATTCAAAGCATCTTTTATGCTATCTTCAGTCGTTCTTCATTTGAAATATCTTGAAGATCATTTTGGCTTCAGCTACTTGTGATTTGAGGGATTCTGACTCATCTTCTAGAGACTGTATCCTTTTTGAAATATCTGTCATCCATTCACCTTGTTCAGAATGTTTATATTTCTCTTCTTTTAACTGTTTTTCTAGACAGAGTATTTTATCCTCAAGTTCCACATTGAACCTGTTCAGCTTTCCACAGGTTGCCTCCAAACTTTGTGCTTCTGTTGCCTCCTTCTCAAAGCTGGCATGCTTTAAAGATGACTCTACTTCATGGCCTTCATAGTCTTTTTGAACAAGGCTAAAATTTTCAATTAGTTTACATTTTTTTTCAGTTAGTCCAGAAAGCATTACAGCAAGCTTTTTTCTCTCTTTCCACATAAAGCTGACTCCTAACCAGTCTAAAACTTCTCCACACACGCAAAAAAGGGAACAGAAAAAATCCAGCAAGAGCTGTACATATCACCAATTCCCATGGAAAACCATAAGGATTAGAATCCGGGCTCACACCATCAGGCAGTGCCACCACAACCCTGTGGCAGGACCAGCCCCAGCTACCTCCATAGCACCAGGGCTGCTCTGGCGGTCACGCCGTAACCCCGGCCTGTCCGGCCGCAATAAGCACCGGAGAGCGCGCATCCCACTCCGAACACGGAACTAGAACGGACCACTGCGGAGCCGGCTGCAGGGGGATGCGGGCACCCACGGGCCTCATAGGCCCACGCTGCCCACCCCGGCCTCCTTTACACTCCGAGGCAGCGCAGGTCCGAGGCCTACCTGCACAAGCCTGCGAGGCACCCTGTCCTTGCCACCGCACCCCTCGGTTTGGTTTCCGCCAGGTACCTGGGGAGAGGTGGGGAGGCACCGCAAACTTCCCCTTCTTCTTCGCGGGAGCTTGGCAGAAGTGTCAAGTTGTTTGCTGCTAAAGGGGCCCGCCCCCTACCTAGCGAAGCCACTCAGCCCTGGTAGTAGAGAGGCTTGGGACTGCAGGACGGGATTTGGCCTCATACTCTGCGCTGTCCTGTGAGCCGCACAGCCCCAAGGACCAGGGCTGTGTCCCAAGGTGCCCCGCGGCGGCGCGAGCGGTGGCGGTGGCACGAGGCTTCTCCTAGAGGCGCATCGGGGCAACCCCTGGGTGCGACTGCGGCGTGCCCCCTCGACCCAGGGGCCGGCGCCAGGCCCCGCCTTGACACGCAGGGCTTTCCTTGCGCATCCTGGCTAGAGCCTGCTGTTTGCGCCTGGCAGAAACCCTGATGGCGGCGGCGTACCCCGGGAGCCCCCGCCGGCCCCCGGAAGCCAGCCGCGGCCATCATTCCAGTCAGAAAAATGCCCTGCGGGGCTCCGGTCGGTGCGCTCTGCCAACCATGTGCAGACGTTTCCAGTAAAGGTATTCTTATAATCTTTTTTGTTTTGCTTTTCCTTCCTGAGAGCATTGAAATGGTCGTGGTTTTTAATCATAACTTGTGGGGTTTTATTTCAGGCGTGAGCTTCGGCATTTTGGGGTGAAGATCAGCATAGTTGAACCTGGCTACTTCAGAACGGGAATGACAAACCTGACACAGTCCTTAGAGGGAGTAAAGCAAAGCTGGGAGAAAGCCCCCAAGCATATTAAGGAGACTTATGGACAGCAGTATTTTGATGCCTGTAAGCTTTTGTCTTTTGGTAGGGATAATGCGTACCCTGTATTAGTCCATTCTCACGCTGCTATGAAGAAATATGAGACGGAGTAATTTATAAAGAAAAGAGGGTTAATTGACTCACAGTTCTGCGTGGCTGGGGAGGCCTCAGGAAACTTACAATCATGGCAGAAGGCACCTCTTCACAGGTTAGCAGGAGAGGGAATGAGTGCAAGCAGAAAGCCTCTTATAAAACAACCAGATCTTGTGAGAACTCACTATTACAAGAACCGCCTAGGGGAACCATCCCCATGATTTAGTACCTTCCACCAGGTCCCTCCCGAGACACATGGGGATTGTGGGATTATAATTCAAGATGAGATTTGGGTGGGGACACAAACCCAAACTGTAACAGTACCCTTGCATGAGAAGGGGAAAATAGGGTTGGTGGACAATAATTGGCAGATCCTCTTAGAACAAAGCTTCCTAAATAAAGCCTTCCCAGAACAGAAGGAGATAAGAAAGGTCCCAGCACCCTCATGGTTGACTTAGTCTGATGGCTGTCATGGTTGAGAAAGGGGACATATAGACGGCCTGGGGCCAGGGTCTTTCCTGCCCTATCCTCTATGGGCCTGGCCACCTGAGCACTAGGAGGTATTACATACTTAGAGGGCATGGAACCTTTGGGTCTTGAGAGGGGGTGCCCCTTGGTATCGTGGCAGGGCTGGTGTGAGGTGTCTGTTCAACTAAAGTGCAGTCTTCATCATTGTTTACTCTTTTGTTAACAAAGGGCTTTGTCCACAAACTATGTGTCTTAATGTGACAGGAGAAAGCATGTAGGTGGGAAGAGGTAAGTCAGTGAGGACAAGTCTTTGCAGGGCCCTATGGGCCATTCCCAGAGACTATACTTCTCATGTTCAGGTGATAGGAGCCTTGTTGGGGTGGGACTGGTCAATTTCCTGTAAGAATATTATTCTGGAGACCTGGAGGAGGAGGTGGCAGCAGCAGTGAAAAATGGGAATGACTTCTAATAGGCACAGAGTTTCTTTTTGGGATGCTGATTGTATAACTCTAAATATTCTAAAAATTATTGATCTGTACACTTTAAATGGCTGAATTTTATGATATATGAATTATATCTCAAGAATGTTAAAAAGTTTTCAGTTGAAAATGTAGATTCCCATATTTGCATTGTTCTAAATATATTTAAAAATCTAGTAACAGCATTGAGTCTTTTTTTTTTTTTTTGAGAGAGAGTCTCACTCTGTCACCCAGGCTGGCATGGAGTGGCATGATCTTGGCTCACTGCAACCTCTGCTTCCCAGGTTCAATCAATTCTCCTGTCTCAGCCTCCTGAGTAACTGGGTCTACAGGCATGCACCACCATGCCTAATTTTTGTAGTTTTAGTAGACATGAGGTTTCACCATGTTGGCCACGCTGGCTTCAAACTCCTGACCATGAGTGATCCACCTGCCTTGGCCTCCCAAAGTGCTGGGATTACAGGCATGAGCCACTGTACCCAGTTATCAGAATTGAGATTTAAGGCCAGGCATGGTGCCTCACACCTATAATTCCATCACTTTGGGAGGCTGAGGTGGGAGGATCACTTGAGCCCAGGAATTCGAGACCAGCCTGGGCAGCATAACGAGACCTTGTGTCTACAAAAAATAAACAAAATAGCTGAGCATGGTGATGCATACCTGTAGTCCCAGCTATGTGGGAAGCTGAGGTGGGAGGATCACTTGAGTCTGGGAGGCAGAGGTTGCAGTGAGCTGAACTGTATTCCAACCTGGGTGACAGAGCAAGATCCTGTCTCAAAAAAAA